CCTCATGGCCCTCACGCCCCTCACTCACTTATGGCCCTCACGCCACTCACCGCCCTCACGCCACTCACCGCCCTCACGCCACTCACCGCCCTCACGGCCCTCACCGCCCTCACGGCCCTCACCGCCCTCACCGCCCTTACCGCCCTCACGGCCCTCACCGCCCTCACGGCCCTCACCGCCCTCACGGCCCTCACCGCCCTCACCGCCCGCACGGCCCTCACGCACTCATAGCCCTCACGCCACTCACCGCCCTCACCGCCCTCACCGCCCTCACCGCCCTCACGGCCCTCACCGCCCTCACCGCCCTTGCGGCCCTCACACCCCTCACGTCCATCACGCACTGGTGGCCCTCACGCCACTCAGGCCAGCTTCAGATGGGGCAATTTCGCCCAGAAACTTTACGTCGCAACAGCAGCAGCACGGGTCGCCCGCGATCACACGCAGCAACCAATTGCTGCAATTTGCCATCGTCATCATAAAATTTTATTTTTCTTGCACTATTTAGACACAATTACGCATTATAAACGTGTTTTTATGCATTTAAATCTCGTTAAGAATACTAATGCACCTTTCTGAAACAGTTTATTTCCAAAAAACGATCGATTTCATACCAGGACCAAGTCTTTCGGTGTCATCATCACCGGCAAGAGGTATCACGTGAAAATGTTGCGTCCCTGATTGGATGCAGCCGCTTCAAACGTATTCGAATTTGCTCCGAGTTGCTTGCTTATTTCGAGCCGGACCCGAACTCAGCAATTCGTGTCGATCTAGGGAAAGCTAGAGAACAACCCGCCATTAACACCAAAATTGCTGAGAAAGATGCACGATCTGAAGGGGCCTCACGCACTCACCGCCCTCACGCACTCATGGCCCTCACACCACCTCATGCACTCACCGCCCTCACGGCCCACACGGTCCTCACGCCTCTCATGCCACTCACTGCCCTCACGCACTCATGGCCCTCACACCCCTCACGCACTCACCACCCTCACACCACTCACGCACTCATGGCCCTCACGCCACTCACCGCCCTTACGCACTCATGGCCCTCACGGCCCTCATGGCCCTCACGGCCCTCACGACCCTCACGGCCCTCACCGCCCTCACGGCCCTCACGGCCCTCACGGCCCTCACCGCCCTCACGGCACTCACCGCCCTCACAGCCCTCACGGCCCTCACCGCCCTCACAGCCCTCACGGCCCTCACTCACCCTCACTCATGAATTTTCCTGGTTCAGAAACTCACTCACCCTCACCTCACCTGTGAAGATGAGGGTGAGTGAGGGTGAGTGAGGGCCCTCATGAGTGAGGTTTGCCGAGGTATGGTCGTCAGTGGGCTGTCCACAACTTAAGGTCGTTGGCAAGAAGAAGCGTTACCCAGCTCTCAGTCATCATTTGCTCTTCTTGAACACAGTATTCATAACAAAGATATCTAAAATACCCAGTAAAACGGTTTAAACGTAGAAAGTACGGTGACTCGCGAGACTCTCGAAGTTTCCAGCAATGTTACTGGAGCGGCAAAGTTGACAAGCTCCGAGAAAAAAGTTACGCATTAGCCATTCACTGTCGCGTAGCGGCGCTCGTGACGCAGCCCGCCCGACCCGCTCGGTGTGACTGGCCTTGATGCCCCTGGATACGGCGTGAAACAGATAGTTTTTGTGTGAGTTCACGGAGAGTATTACCAACGACTATTGCCAGTGTGAGAATGTCTGGATTGATACAACATTTCCTGGGACTTTTGAGGTAAATTCACGCCCGCCGGGCCCTCGTAGCTTTGGCAGTTTTCGAGATTAGCTTTTTTCTGTAATAAGGTAGTAATACATACCAGATGAAATGTCCCTACGGTCCCTACAGCATACGATTCGCGTGACTACTGTCGTGTAGCCGAAACGTAAGTCCATGAATAGTTGTTCACGAAACGTAATTCCTCAAAACGAGTTTCGATGAAACGACAGGGATCCCATTCTCCAGTGCCTGATTCTGCAACATGTTTGTTGACGTGTTTATGCATGAGCGCGTTACTTGAATTCGATTTATGTTCACTACTCTTTTCTTAACGTTACAGTTGTACTTAAAACAAATTCTTGATAATGTTGTTTTATCGATGTCATGACGCTTCTAGGATTTATTTCAAGTAAAAATAAATACATCTTGAGCTACCTCACCGAGCCCCTGAGAATGGGACATAGGAAGGCTGGGGTGCAAAGACCACTGTGAAAACTTCACTGCCCAACTACTTAGCTTTGTTATGACGCGAATGCACTTCTACACGAGAGACACCGATCAAAAGTTAGAGGTAACGGAGAAGGTGGTAGTAGCAAACAAGAAACCCTGGCTCCCGTGATCGCCAACTACAGGTATTTTAAGCCTTGGTATTTTGAAATCTGGTCGCGATTTTTTATGGAAAAAAAAGAACGTTGCACAGTATTCATTTACAATTTTAGCATTGCCAACGATTTGTTTTGGCAACAAATAAAAGGTAAAAAACGTATTTTGTTTTCTACCTCTTTAAATTAAATATTTTTAGGTATTACTGTTATTGTCTAAAACCGTAGCTATATCGGTTCCTTTGTTGTATTTGCGTGTATTTGTATTCGCGTGCGTCTGTGCGCACGCATGTGGACGCGTCTGCGGGTGTCTTCGTGCTTGTGCGTGCGTGCGCGTGTACGTAAGTTCCTTGTGCGTCCATGTGCGCCTGCAGTATGCGCGTCTGCGCGCGTGTGTCGGTGTCCACTTTACTGAACTGTGCCAGTGCGAAGATCAATTGGATGTTCCTGGTTACTGTAATAAACACTAATGTATTTATTATTAATATTATTAGTACTATTAGTAATATAGCCTATTATTATTGAAACATGCCATCGTGAAGCCCAATGGACCTTTTCCATATACCGACGGCACCAGGCGGTGGCTGCGCGAACTAAAAAATCGAGGAAGTGACCTGCGCTACCAATCAATAATGGGAGCTACGTTACCAGTTGCTTCGCTCTCTGAGCAGCGTCGCGTGCCCAATGCAACGAGGTAGGCCTAGCGCGACTTTAAAGAAGGAAATCCGTAGCGTTCACCCAAACGTCGTGTTTTTCTTTCCGTCCACTTTCTTTTTTTGTGTAACGCAATTATATATATGCTGCAATTACGTATTCTACTCGTCGATTTACAGCCTCATTTTGAATTTCCTCGATTTTTTCGTGCCGACTTCCACCGCTTGGCATCGGGCGCTCGCGCGTGCGCAGAACGCTTCTCGGAAAAGGTCCATTGTTCTTCCTGAACTCTACAATAAACATTGGTTGATTGATTAATTGAGTTTTATCTTTGTGGGTTGTGATTTATGACAGAGGTCATGCGGTCACTTCAGCAAAAACTTCGAACATCCGTTGCTCTTCTGAACATCAAGCTTCGAACGTACCTCGAGAAGTCCGACGCTGCGATTGTCCTGAAAAAGACTTCAGTTCAAGTATCAGTTTTGAAACGTTTAACAACCCGTCTACCAGTTCAGCTAGCAGTTTCACGAGTTCAACTGACGTTATGAATAGTTCAGCCACCAGTTCGGCGACACTATTTTTTTTTTCAGTTTGTCTAGTTTGTTTCTTATTGAGCATTTTCGACAGTTAAGCCGCCAGCTGGGCGAGTTCCCTTTCTCAGTTTGTCCATTTTGATTTCCATTTGGTCTGGTTTCAGAAGCTTGATTTACAATTTGGCCAGTTCAATAACGGTGAGTACAGTTCAAATTCTGCTATAATCAGTTAAAATTCGTAGGTGCTTTTTTTGTTGTTTTCTTCTCCTGCGTTCTTCTGCGTTGTCGCATGAAGTCGGAAAAGGCTTAGAGACGCCGCTGTGAAGTCCCGTTCACCACTTGCGTTTGCCTCCGACCGACTGAGACAAGACCGGTTTTTAAGCCTCTCGTGACGGGTTACGCACATCCAATCTGCATCTTGATTTATCCGTTTAGTGGTAAAGTCATGAAGAAAAAAATTTAAACGAACGAGCATGTATAATTGTCTTAGCCAAGTACCGTTGAAGCAACGCTGCGCCGAGTCGGAGTGCCTGCTAGGCCTATCTGCCGAGCTCGCTTGGTCGGCGTCGGTAGATTCGTCGCCGTTGTAGCTTTTCTTGGGTGTTTGTGGATCCAGCGTTATTGTTCGTCGTGGTCTGTTTCAAGTACTTTTTTCTTGCTGCTTGAAGTCGGGACGCGCGAGAAGAACACGTAGAAAAATAAACGTTCGTTGGTCGTCGCGGCCAAGTAACTGAGCGACGCTGTCGGCCCTATTGTAGCTGCTTCGTTTACCACACGATAGATGGAGCTTGGTTCTCAGCATTATCAAATTTGTCAATTTTCGTCACATCTCTAATTATGCTACAAAATGTGGATCTGAATATTATTTAACAAAACTTTTAGGAAACATTCGCCGGCTATTTATTGTTTATGATCGCGGTGCTGGTGAGGTAGGCTCTTACCCAATAGGCGACGTGGATTCGGCTGACGTTCTGCGGTTCCGCGGATGCATCGCAGTGAAAAAGCAGAGAGCTTTCGAAGGAAAGAAGGCGCAAAAGAGTCCGGTTTTCTTTTAAAAAGTTCTATTGCGAAGAATATTTTTGGCTCCCTATTTTTGCGTTTTTGTGTTTCTTTTCACACCTTTTACGACGTGCGGTGGATGAAATTCGATTTCAGAATCGTTTCATGGTCCCTTTAACAGACTGAGCAATTCAGCTTTGCGAGTGCAAATCGCGTTTTCGCTCAATTGGATTTTTTTGTAACTTTGATACAGTTTTTTTGTGTAGAATGTTTTTATTTCAGGTTTGCGAAAAATTGACCATGGCGCGGGCGACTTGCGATTCAGGCACACATATTTTTATTTTATTGTTTTTTTTATTAGTTCAACCGCTCATATAACCAAACAATATGCCATGTCTGATCGGCAAATTACACTGACTTGGAGGTAATGAAAATGGCCATGCTGGTGTTGTCATTTTTATTATATTAATGACATCAAGGAAAAGGTGAAAACATTAAGAAAATTTTTATTTTACTCGAAAAGCATACAGTTTTGTACTTGTTCCTCCGCGGAAGAAGATCTTGCAAACTAATCTGCTGGATAATTCAGAGTATATTGAAATTTTGAAATTACTGTAATTATGTTCTTCAGGTGCACAACTAAATTCAGAACAATTGCCTGACAATAGTTAATCTGCCAAGCTACACTTGAAACCTGCCAGAATATAAAAAAGTATCCTGGTAGAGAATCTCCAATTCCATGGACAGTATAAAATTGCTTTAAATTAGTTTCCAAAACTCTGTATACAAAATAAAAAAAGAAACGTATAATAGAGTCCAATATTTAAACCAATAACACGCGGAAATTCTAAAATAAAAAAGTATGTCTTTTTTCCTAAAAATATTAGCTTCAGACAGACGCTTGATTGACCCAGCAAGCACACAGCTTCCGCAGCATTTCCAACGTATCGATAAACATGGATACGCAAATGAATCGAACCCCTATAGGATTTTTTTATAAGGCGGAGGCCACCGACAGCATATAGATGCGTCTATGATATACTGTTTGCCAGCGCTTCTTGACGGTCAGGCTGCCGGAGAAACGGGTAATTGTTTATTGAATTGTCAGGACAGTACCGAGGCGATCCCGCGTGTTCGAAAGAAGGCGAGGGCTCAGAAGTCGACGTACACGGGCATCGGGCAACAGTCCGGGTAAGGGCCCTCCCGCCTTTCCAGTCGGCACTTGGAGGTCGGGCAGTGGTAAGTGGTGCACCTGCGACAGGCACATCATTCAGAGTTGGGACAAGCGCAGTATCACAACCTTTCTGCGTCGTCATCCCACACATTGTTTTGGCCGTAAAGTGCTAAAACTATTACAAAGTGTCGTGTTTTTTTTTTGTAAGGTTAAATATTTCCAGGTACTTGTTTCTTGTGCTCGTTGGCATTTTAAGCAGAAATGAGACTGGAAACTCGTAACTGAAACATTACCCTCGGTTTCTACTGATTTAGAGTGGTGCCCGGGGCAGGGGAGGGCGGAGGGGCAGGAGAAGGAAAGCTGTCCAGCCCGAAAGTGACCCAAAATGATGCAAATTTTAAGATACTATGTTTTACGCCGTTTAACCACATTATAATTTTAAATGGAAAAATAAGCGCGACTATTTTTTGTGCACGATGTCCACAAATAAATAGATAAATAAATATATATATATATATATATATATATTACCAATAAATTTAAACTTATGTGTACACTGCTGCTAGGTTCGCGTTTTTTAAATTTCATATATTTTTACGAAAGAGTTACACATAAAAGACACGACGGACAGCACATCTTCCGACTTTCAACACACAATGAATTGCCGACGCTCGCAAACGGAAGGTTGCGATGCTGCGCGAACGGTTCTTGAAAGATGCTGCATAGGGTACTCCGGGCGGAGCGGCTTCGCAGTCGTTCGAAGGGGAAAGGATTCGCGACGACGAAGTAGCGTCTTGCATCTTCAATAAGCTAACGGTTCGTGTTTCCCCGCTAAATTTATCGGGGAAACATGAACAAAATTAGTTTCACTGCTAGATTTACCGCGAAAATTGACTTCACGTGACATAAGCACCAGTTCAATTTCCCGCTAAATTTAGCAGGGCGGTTACACCGATGCCGACAGCGACGCCGACACCGCTTAACGCGGAAACGGGCGCCTAAGAGATGCGTTCTAAAATCCATTATTTGACTAACTCGCTTTCCGATCTTATGCACTTTGGCATATTGTTACACGTCAAACATAAAACCAAATTTCATTTGTCTTTCAATATTCAAATTGTGCAATTGATTAATTGGTCCAAATATCTGGAATAACTTCACTTTAAGGATGGTAACAATAGTTAACCAATCATATGAGACTCATGCAATATAGATAAATCAACTAGTGTCTTCGTGAGTACATATAACTTTTTGCGTGCACGACTGAAACGGGCCCTAATATCGTTATCAGGGGATATATTTTTACCCATTAATGTCGTGAACGTGCTACATATGGCACTATTCGAACTTTTATACAGCGACATATGGCCGTATTTGCACGCGTATATGGCGATATATGGCAGTATTTGGCCACTTATATGACGATATGTAACCGTATTTTCTCCCATATATGGCGGTATGTGGCCATATTTGACTCCTTATATCATCATACAGTGCCATATATAATATATATCAGGGCCATATCTGACATTTTCATACGGGATTATATTAAACGCAACGATGTTTGTACTTTGAGCAAGTGCCGCTTAGAATGAATCCCTGATGTTTAGAGCCTATGGAACACGCATTAGTTTTTCTCCCCAAGCAATGGTATCGCAGAAATAATTAAGGAAAAACGAGCAGCCTTCACTCCCTCAACTAGCAGCCAGACATGCGGGCCCGTCATCTAAAGCCGATTATATGCCTGAGGTCCAAGGCCTCAGGCCTCATTTGGTCAAGCCAAGAATTGCACCGTCAAAGCGGTGCCTCGCCCACCGCCTTCCAAAGGCTTGTTTGTGTCCCGTCTGGACCCATCCACTAGCGTCACTGACGTCGAATCTATAGTATCAACTGTTATCGGGGACAAGCCTGTGATTTACACGCAACTTAAAACAAAATACCCCACGTATAACTCGTTCCATCTTGCCGTTGACGAGGAGTCGTTGCAAGTGTTAAATAACTCAGACGTCTGGCCAGATGGCTCTCTTTTTCGCCCTTTTTTGGGGAGGTTACCTAATTCCCGGCATTACGTGGTTCCAGCGGAAAGTTTAACCGAAGGTACTCATGGCTCGAAATCTTAACGTTTACTATCAAAATGTCCGCGGCCTTAGAACAAAATCGGATGAATTTATGTCCAATCTGCTAGGTACCGATTACGATATTGTCATATTGTCAGAAACATGGCTTCATGACGGCATTGCGAATATTGAATATTTTACACCTGCCTTTACTGTGTTTCGTAGAGATCGTGATTATACTTCCGGGATAAAATATGGAGGTGGTGTATTGATAGCTTGCAAACAATCACTGAATGCACATAGGCGAAATGATTTGGAAACCTATCAAGAATCCGTCTGGGTCGAGATACCGTCTGGTGACGGGTTCAACTTTCTAATTGGAGCATATTATTTCCCTCCCGCTTCAGATGCGGCTCTCTTTGTAAGCCACTTTAATTTTCTTGAAAATGAAATAGACGTTACTAAATATCGCGTGCAACTATACGGGGATTTTAATCTACCGAAAGTTGACTGGGTTAATGGTCGTATTAACAGTGAAAGCTCCTGCACACGTCAAAAAGCGTCTTGTTTGTTTAACTTCATAGATTTTAATGATTTTACACAACACAACATGTTCGTGAACTGTTCCGGTAACATTCTTGATCTGGTTTTATCTAACATTCCTACTTCGAAAGTGGCTCGTGTAGACGATCCGCTGGTCACCCCTGATGCTTATCATCCTCCCCTTACGGTTTCGTTTCCTATGTTTCTAAGGTCAAGGGTTTCGTCTGGTGCACTACAGTACGCGTACAGCGCTGGCGATTACTTTAGTTTATACAAATATTTTGAACAATATGATTGGACTGATGTCTTACAATGCTCTGACGTAGATTCGATGGTGGATAGTTTCACAGCGGTAGTCAATGATGCCATGAACTTGTTTGTTCCCCAGCGCACCAACCGCCCAGAGAAGTACCCTAAGTGGTTTTCCAAAGATTTGCGATATTACTTGAGATTAAAATTACGTTATCACAGATTATATAAAAAAACGAGGCTCGGCGTATGGTATGAAAAATTTAGCATCTGTCGTGAATTAACAAAAAAGCTTCTTGCTAACGACCAATATCACTACCGCAGGCAGATGGAGCGTAACCTGAACAAGCGACCAGAAGAATTCTGGCGCTATGTGAAAAAGCATACCACGAAGAACGTTAACGATATAACGCTGAGCAACGGGTCAGTTATTGAAACGTCCCCAAAATCTGTTTGTGAGTTGTTTTCGCATCATTTCAGTTCATGCTTTTCCAATGTCAACACCCTTTTACCCATGACATGTAATACTACTTTTGATGACTATTTACCTTTTACTAGATGTACTGTTCACGAAGTGCTTTTAGCTATTGGAAAGCTGAATTCTAAACTGTCCACAGGCTCAGATGGTATTCCCAACTTCGTTCTAAAAGGATGTGCCGAATGTTTTGCTCCTGTTCTTGAAAAAGTGTTTAACTTGTCTATACAGAGTGGTGTCTTTCCAGAAAAATGGAAATATTCAATAGTAGTCCCGATTTTCAACTCAGGTAATTCTTGTGATGTTAGTAACTATCGTCCTGTTTCCCTTCTCAATTCATTTTCAAAGGTTTTTGAGAAGCTGGTGTACAATCGTTTGTATAATTATTTTAAAAGAAAGTTTGTTCTTGTACAGCACGGTTTCGTCAAAGGCAGATCCGTCGAGACAAATCTGTGCACATTTTTAAATTTTGCCTTTCCAATAATTCAGTCTCGGGGCCAAGTAGACGCAATATATCTGGATATGTCCAAAGCCTTCGATAAGGTCAATCATGAGCTGTTATTGCTGAAACTTAGGGACTATGGCCTGAGTCCTGAGTACAATACCTGGTTTAGGAGTTATCTTCATAAAAGGCAGAACTGTGTAAGGGTATCTGGCTTCTTGTCTCGTCCATTCATTTCTATATCAGGAGTGCCTCAAGGCTCAAACCTTGGACCTTTGTTGTTTCTTATTTTTATAAATGATTTGGTGTCGTCCGTAAAACACTCTCAAATACTTATGTTCGCAGATGACGTGAAGTTGTTTCGGGAGGTTACCTCAGTCACTGACTGTACTTTGCTGCAGGACGATCTTCGTTCAGTGGTAGAATGGTGCAGTTCTAACAATCTTTTCTTAAATCCGTTCAAAACAAAAGTCATGTCGCTGTCAAGAAAGCGTCACAATTTATCCTATGTATATGTTCTGGAAAATGAAACGATCTGTCGGACCACGCAGATGCGAGACCTAGGTATTCTTGTGGACGACCATCTTTTTTTCCTTTCTCATGTAAACTCCATTATCAGCCAGTCATTGCGCACGCTAGGAATAATGTCTCGCTTAACTAGACCATTTATCACTCATCACTGTCTCTTGAAATTATATAGTACCCATGTACGTTCGAAACTAGAATTTGCATCTGTAGTCTGGAACTGCATATCTATAACAGCAAGTGAAAGTATAGAACATGTACAAAAGCGATTTGTGCGCATCATTTACGACCGATATTTTGGAAGAAAGTGTTTTTATGAATATAATTCGAGTTTAGCAAAATTAACACTGGGCACCTTAGGTAAAAGAAGGTCTATTCGGGATGTTCAGTTTTTACATAGGCTAATTCATAATGCAATAGACAGCCCTACTCTCCTCACCTGTGTTAACTTTCGCATACCACTTAGAACAAACTCTAGAAATCCTAGAGTCTTTTACCCAGACCTCATTCGAAACGCATCACCGGTTTCGCGTATCCAACATGTTTTAAACACGCAATTTACTGACGTCGATATTTTTAGTACAAACCTGTCTTTTGGATAACGATCATTTTGATGCATGTGTTTTTAATTGGCATATATACACGTTTGTGTGCTTGCATGTTTTTTTTTCTTTCACAACTCTTTATTTTGTCTACTCTGTATTTTGGGTGTATTTCAATTGTGTGTGCTTAACCCAGTAGGCTTTCGAGCTGTTGGTTAGCACAAGAGAAAAAATAAACATTGATT